TTAATCGGCCACGCCGTTTAATTGACATTCTGCACCGCAAAATGCCACGGAGGCCGCCGTTGCCGTGCAATTTTCTTCATCGTGCTATCTATTCGATCCGGGAGGGGATGATTGACGGCCGCGTTTAGATCAATTTTAGCCAAGTGCTGGGATTTTCGCGTAATCTCAAATCTTCTTCGGGACTACAGTATTTGTCGCGAATAAATAACAAATAACATTTCGTTATCGGTTTTTGAAAAACAAGAGATTGCTTAAGAAGTACACAATAAAAAGGTATTATTAACAAGACATGTACGTCCTTCTTATTCGCGGCTCAGGAGATAAGAATATTTAAACAGGGATTAATAAACGAAGAGGCTGTCTATTATTCATCTCTAATTCACCAGTAATTAATAATAGATAATCTCTTCGTTCATTATGGACGAACGTTTGTTACGTTAAATGCACCGGTAATATTGTCTATTCAAAATACTGTATTTCATATAATTCTGTGTATCTTGGATTACGTACGGCGTACGGCAAAGCGCCGAGAAACGCACACACCGAACACAAAGTAAATTTATGCCTGTGCATGCAGTATGCTTTATGTAAATTATAAACACAGCGACACATGTGCTATAATTAATATGTATTCAAATTTCTATCGCCAAAGTCGACGAGTGCCTCACGGGCGTTTCGGAAACGTTCCTCAGATTAAAGCTGTATAATTATCCGGGGCGGCGCGATGATATCGGAGGCAGTAGCGATGGCGGTCCAGCGATGGGGAGCTGGGTGAGTGTAATATTTAAGGGGCTGCGCCTTCTTGACGAGCAATTGGGGTTCACGCACATCCCGATGAATATGCAAAAGTCTTTCTCAAATCATATCTGGCTACACAGGTCACCGGTCTATGTTTCATGCATTCAGATGCCCTTCTTACATTCCTAAAAGGCACCGTGGCGGACTTGAACAATGTCGTCTAATGTTACCTTCATTAGATGCCGTTTAAAAACCCTGTCCACATTTCTCGTGAAATTCCCGCCGGGATGTGGTATGCAAATCCCACTCAATTCGCACGAACACGGGGAAACTCTTAAAGCCTTTTATAGTATGCCTTCTCTAAGACTGAATTCGTGGTCTGAAAGTCGGAGTGCCACTATATTCTCAAGCGTAGGTATTACGAGACGACTTTTCGCGCGGGTTATACATATACGTGTGGCTGAGGATTTTTAACCCCTTCTAAGAGGTTACGACACGCGCAGACTGATTTATATTTACGGAGTTACGAATATCGCGGGTGTGCCACCGAGTAGGGTGAAATCTGACGTGCGTTTCGCGTTTCCCCCCGTGCGAACAAAGTTTTTCGTTTATTTAATACGATAAACGATGCGCGTAAAAACCAAGCACTGCATACTTTCGTCTATTTTCACAAGAACAATTTGGTATTGTCGTTGAGAAATGACGGAAAAACTTTCGCGTTTACGTTGACTTATTATTACACAAGTGGAAACGGGGAATTCTTTCTTGGCAATAATAAACACGTGCGACATGCCTCAATATTAAGAACTTCTACCCTAATGCTTGTCCTATATCTGACGTCGGATGCAGCCAACGAATTTTCCCGAGATTGCACCGCGTTCCCTCATAAGATTATGATTTTTGGCACCAACTTTGCCTTACTCGCTGGAACATCTCCGCAACAATCTTATTAACCATGATAACTCGCAATACGTGATAAGAGAAAGACTTTACGTAACGTTTAACCTTTTCTTGCAAGCTTTCCCTATTATCTTTATCACACAAAACTTTTCCAAATTTAATTATATTTAATTTTATACTAAGACGATTTTATTTTTGCCTAATGTTTTTACTAGAAGATTAAAATTAATCATTAGGTTAATATGTCTTAAAAAAAAAAAACAGTTCATCTTTTCTTTCTGCGAAAGTTTTTATATTAAATTTTTTATGTTAAAAACGGCAGTGTGTGATAATGGCAAAGTCATACTTGCAGTCAGCAAATCCCCGACAGCCCTCTTCGCGAAGCACTTTATATCGTACAGACCCATTATATTATCAGCTACGTGTTATAAGTTATAGCAATAAGAGCTCCCTACGGCTGTATGGTCTACTTTATGTTTACGATCCCTTGTAAAAATTTTCTATTAAAACGACGAAATGCCGTTCGCAACCGTGAAATAGACAGTACAGTGTGTAATATTGGAGGAGGTATACAATGCTACATTATCTATTTTTTCCACCATGGAATTTTTCCTCTGTTACGACGGCATGAAAAAACTACACCTTGAACGTTACTATAATCGCGCACATAAATTGAAAATTATTCCTCGATCGTTTATTCGTGAAACTAATTTCAAAACGGGCTTGTTCAAGACTATCGCTGAAGTGATATAACTATAATCGATCGTATCGAGATTAAATGGTGTAAAAATTTTTACACAGTTCATAAAACGTCCTAAAAAGACGTATAACAAAAATTAAATATTTATATAATAACAAGTGTGAGATTTAAAATACGTAATAAAATATATAACCACAAGGCCAACAATTTTCAGACCTTGATATTGTATTTCCTTCGATTAATATAATAAAATAAATAAATAACCGAAATATATAGTTATCATTGTTATATTTTTAAAACTGGAATTTTATTAAATTTGTTTTGATATTCTGGTTCGTTCTTCTGTTGTTTATTGGTTAATAGGTAAAATAAAATTTGTTGCGCAGGAACAAGCCAATATCCAAGTCAGATAAAGAGAACAGGATGTGAACGTCAAATTGATACAATAAAATTGATATAAAGTATCACTTCACGCTATCACACATTCAAATTGTTTTAGTGCTGCTTAGTTAAGAGAGAGAGAATTGGGGTTATGAAAAATATCAGTCAATAATATGAAATCACGAAGATTGACAGACGATCGTCCCTTAACGTTCCTCTCGCTTTGCTCGGAAAGAGGCACTCGACTGCGCTTGCGGGTTCTTCGTTAACTCGACTCGCACCACGGAAGATTTCCGATTCACTTACGGTTTGACAAGTCGCCCATATTCTCGACACACTTACGCGAACGAAGGAGGCGAGGATGCGAAGGGCCGACAAAACAAAACATCGTAAAGTGCCCTCGTGTGTAGAGGATGCGACCTGTTAGCTACTATTGAGGCAAGTGAGAAAAGTGGCTGTGAGAGATGCACGGCGAGATGCATAAGGGGGCGCACCTCCCAAGTACGGTTTATCCCCCGCCCGGCTTTGCGACGCATTGAGATTTATTAACGTGACGCCCGACACCGCAGGATGTCTCCCCATAAATTTCACGGTTGCAAATTTCTGGGAATTCACGCCGATATGCTCGTGGTTATATGAACCGTCTCGTTTAACTCCCCTCTCCCCCTCCCCCCTTCCCGCCGATTTTGAATTATGGCTGGATATAGCTCGTCATTCTGTAACACGGTTTCCTCTACAGTATTTGAATATTATGACGATTGCCGAATTATTTTTAAAAACGTGTGCACGAAAGCGTTGTTTATCAAATACGAATTATAAATTTATGACGTATACATTACAACCATTATTGTACTTTTACAAAATCGATCTGGCATAGCTTGTGTGTGTGTGTTTGCCACGTATACAGAATTTAATTTACTTCCATCTCATTCAATTTTCATATAATATTTGCCGAGCAAATTCCCTGACCAATTCTATCGGATACAGCCATCGGTAAACGGCCGTATTTATTTTCTTTTATTGAAACGGGATCGTGTGCGCTTCATGAGATTGTTTTTGCTATATTCACATTTATATCACGTTTGGAAGTCCACAATTATTACGTATCATTAATCGTGCAAATATGATCGACGAGCTATCTTTGCGTGCCGACAATGACAATGGATTAGCATTAAATCCGTTCTTCGAATACGTGACCGAAAACGTAACACGGCCATCCCATTTGTGATACCAGACCTAAACTGAAATTTCATAGTCCAAGGAACAGTGAGAGATCTTAAGACATCACTGTTCGGTTCTCCCTCGGAGCATCAATCAGCGGTTCCTGCAATCAAGGGAGAGCAACAGCGAGCGAGGACGTCTCCATGGGAATTTCGAGAGGCATCCACCACTCAATTATCTACCACCATACACATTCAAGATCTTATCGATCTACAGAGGTCTCTATTTGAAGGAAGGTCAACAAGGAAATTCTACGAAAATCTAAGGTCGCTTACTATTGCAACGACTGCATAACGAATATAAAATATTTATTAACATTAATGGTGGGTCTTTATCAATTATATCATCAGAATCAAAAAACGAATTTAAGAAATATAATAAATTTACTTCGAATAGTTGGTAATTAATCGAGACATGTAAAATATGTTACATATGTAACGTTTTCGTTTTGCTCTCGTCTACCAAGTAAGTCCAAAAACTTTTTAACGCTTTGTTACTCGAAATATTATTGAAACCAGAGAAGAACGTTATCTCCTTTACATATTAGGACTGATAATGTATATTAATATATTCTATATCCCAGACATAAACAAACCTGTCAGCATCCAAGCTAGAATTATCTGCATTGAATATCAACAAATATCGAGTATGCAATTCGATTTCGTTCGGCCCTGAATGATTCCGAGTAACGGCCGTGAATGCCTAATGAGTCGCTGTTGTTCGACGTTGACGTACCATCGACGCTCCACGTAATGGCATCATTATTATTCCACGCAACAATTTTCGTGTTATGTTTGACTCGCCATTTGGCATTCTCATACAAATCTTAAGATTTTCTCTGCGACGTGCAGACAGACGCTAAAAGCAGGATTTAGTATGCCTCTCTTGTACATTGTAATTGCTTCGAACACGGAATTGACTTCAATATCTCTTAAAAATCTACCTCAAATCATAAAAGAGATATTTCCTATATGCAAATAATAAAATTTACAAGAAAAGCTTTTTGTAAGACTTATTATGTGCTCCGATCGTTGTATAAATTATCAATCACTTGTTACAGATGCTGCAGTGATGGACAGCGAGGGCACGTTGGGCCGCGGCCATGCAAATGGGGGCCGTGGGCTGCGCCGTCAGCGGTCCCTGGAATGGAGAGAACGGCGCGGTTATGGAGCCAGTGCCCAATCCAGTAGCGATGATGAAGATAACGCACGTCACGCAGTGGGGCCCGTGTCGAGTTCATCCGTTGCAAGAGGCGCTCGTAGCCCTGGTCAGGTCTTTGCCTCCATTTTGGCGCAACAGTATGGCAGTAAGTTTCATTCTTTATTGTATAAGCTCTTTCTATACAAAAAGCTTAGCAAAACACCCCCATTGTATTAAAAAAAAAGGGAAAGATACTTATTGTTAGATAACTTCGTTATTTGTGTTTAAAGATACTTCTTAATTTGTTGATTTTAAATTTACGTTGCCTTCAACATAAAGTAGCGTATATACTAACGAATAAACTAACAAGAAAACAGAAACTTGCTGATGTGCATTGCATTTATATTCGGTGCATGTTGTAAATCTGCGATACAATCCCATGTTTGTTATATTCAACGAAACGATACTCGTGTATATTTGCAATCGTCCGAATCTATACCAAAAAAACGTGATTCTGCCAACAATCATTGTCTCGTTGTTGATTTTTCTCATCGATATCTACTTTTGATTTACAGTTGATCCTGTTTTCATGGACGAATTCAATGACAATATATAATATTATAATATTTATTCGATATAATGATTTTTCGATCGAGAGATGCAATTTTAGAGTATTTTGACACGCTTTATAACTTGTTTTGCTATAGTAAAGTATCTTCATTTAACGCTTAACAATATTCATATATAAACATAAAATGTGTTATTAAATCATACATGTAATTAATTTCATGACAAATACAATACAGATTATAGATACAGATTTCTATTGAATATTAATAACAATTGATATCTTTATAAAAGATATCACCGGATAATAAACAAAAATCTTTAGCAAAATAATAACCTTGTTATATAAAGGCGATCTCAGTATTTTAGTAAATACTCTCTCGTTCTGGTAACTCCATTAACCTATATGTTCAATTTTGAATTGAAAGAGTCTTAACACAGGAAAAATCTCTAAACTTAATAAGAATCGCGTCCCTGAATAAGAACTGCGGGAATTTAATGTCAGATTTTGCGCACGAATGCATGCAACGTGTAAATATAACAAGGAACGTTATCAACTATCCCATTATTAAGTCCAATTGCGTGTCGTGACTTTCGCAACTGCTTTAATTGCAGTGCGTCAAACTAAAGTTGCTTCTTTTTCCTCTATTTGATCTGGTATACCAATAACCAAGTTTTACGTGCCTCGTTCATCATATTCCATCAAACACCCAGGAGCTCGCCCATTCAGTCCGCTTCCCTTAATCTCGCCTCGGCTTTCCACCAAACGCGTAGATTAAAGGATTTACGAAATTAGTTTTACTTCCTCGCGTCGTCTACAAGCACTGCCGGATATTACGTTCGAAGACCAAAATCAAGATTGCCGCGCGCGCCGGCAACCTCCTTCTAATATAATACCTAATATAATGGGTGTGAGCACTTTGAAAAGTAAATGAAACTTAATTCACGAATAATAATTTTCATAGACGCATGCACTATGTACAGAAAGCAACGCGCGTTACGTCTCGAAGCTGTCTCGTACAATTGATCGTATCAATATATAAATATACTTTTAAAAAACACACTCTAGCTCTAACGACGGCACAACGAAGTGGGTCGGAAAGAATAATGCAATAAGTCCGGATAAGTTGTCTCATATGGTATTCCGTTATCTGCTCCCCTAATATCTACTTCATCATCTCCCTCGTCGTTTCTCCATTCCCATGTTTCATCGATTCGTCTTGAGGTTGAACAAAGTAGGGGACGTTGCGCGCATCGACGATAGGGACGAACTCAATTAATAGCGATAGTCCGGTTTATACTATATTTCTTGGTTGCGGTATCAAGCGAGAGAGAAAGAGAGAGAGTGAGGGAGAGTCTAGCAGTCCACCTCACGTCTGTCTGCATTTGTTCCAATTCACTTGCTGCCGATTACCGCGCTGCCTCTCCGCATTGATCCCACGTCGTCCTACCCCATTTTCATCCCTATTCTCCCATTTCCTCTGCCCCGTATCTGCGCTCGACCCCTTCTCTCTCGAGCCCATCTACCACTCGACTCGGTGGGTACAGCGCAGTGTCACGTAACCGCACTCGAAATGTATCGAAAGAGGCGATGTACCGACAACGTAATGACTCGCCTTTACTAGCCCGCAGCTTCTCCTGTTTGTCCCATTCCGTTTCCGCATACCATCCTCTCGTCCGCCTATTTGATACGCACTTTATTGTGAATCGATATTATACAGTTTTCCACGACAATGCAATCTCCAATGTTTTCCGTTCTTGAAAGAATAGTCGCGTGGTCACGTTTCAAATCTCGTCGTTAATTAATCTATTTTTGTCCGTTAGTAACATTTGTCATAATTAATGATGGAAAAGCAATCAAAAGGTTTATTCGTTATGTTGTTATATAACTCAGCGCCGCACGATAGATTTTAATCCGAGTTTTAATCGTTTCTTTGACAATGTGTTGTCGATAATGAACCATTGCGGAAAGAATCACGCTCAAAAAATCAAACATCACAACAAAACAGTAAGTTAATAGTTCCAAAACATGTTTTCTAAAATCACACTCACACTTATCTTTCTTGTAGATACTCCCTAACAGGGATATATGTGTCACGACATTATCATCTCTATGATATAATGAAAAGAGATCTCCTCCTTTCCCATGCCTTCTTAGCTCGGATCAAAATACCTATTATAGCTCTTCGTCAGACGCGAAGGAAAGTACCGTCTCTTTATTAATGGTATCCGATGTGTCACGTTACAAGAGGGCCCAAGCGCGTCGATATGGATGGCAGCTCTTAATCTCCGTCCGCACAGTCATCAATATATTGATGTCCAGTCGTAGGGTCTGTCTCCAGGTTAGTCTGGACTGAGCCGGCCTAGACATTATATTGCCAGTTCATTACACCAGCAACGGTTCATATCACGCTTTACTACCTTCCGGAAAATGTTGTCCCCCGAAATGGCGATGTGTGCAGAAATCTCGCGTATACGATGACACCGTATAACGGCGCTACGTGTATTATCCCCAAGAGATTATATAAATTGGTAATTTGGTACGGCGAAATAAATACAATGGCAGTCTACGGGATTATTACGCGAATGCCCGCCTATCTGTTTATCGGGCCGTTTCATTCGCGTTAATCAAATATACGTTTATACGTTATTAAATATATGGATATTGATACATTGATTCATATGTGTCTATTGTTCCATATTTCGAACTGCCTTTTCTCCTCCCCTCTCCCTCTCTCCCCCTCTCCGGAATAAATTCCATAATCGATACATTGCGTAATCGATCAAAAGCGACGCGTGCGTTACTGTCGTTTATAAGCCGACGCAGCGTAAATCTCGAGGTTGCAATCACGTGGAGTCACATCATCGATTTATATTTATGTCAAATATTTACAGAACACTGTACTACACATCGTTACGTTTCGCGGATATAGCTGCTGGTCGAGGGAGAGTGTCATGACCGAAATGAATAAAACAAATTCAAAGATATCATAGCAAAGTGTGTTCTTAGTATTAATGGGGGCGGTAACGAGAACTAAAAGCCGACTGCTTTCCCAGCTAAGACTCGAGATCTTCTAACCGCGCTCGAGCTCTCCATCTGGCCTCCGAGCATTTTCAAGTTACTACATACCACGGACTCTTAGCTACCCGATGTATTCTCAAGGATTTCAGAAGATGAGGTTAAGCCATGGATAAATTTTTAATGGTCAGATGGAAGTTTCAGTGAAGTAATCGTATGGTACACGCGAGATATATCGGATAGAAGGATTAGTTTGGAATTCGAATTTTTAAAAATAATCAAGTCATTATAGTTTGAGGATAACGAAATCTTGACAAAAAAAAAAAAACGTAGTTTGCTGCGACGGACGAAAAATGTAATGTTATTTCTGTACATTATATGATAAAATAGATTAATAAGTTTTGAGCATCTAAGTTTTGAAAGCATTTTCTCAGATATTTTGAATAAAAAACAAATTGAAACAGAATTGATTTGATAGTATACTGCTAATTTTCCCCGAGTTGCTATCTTTACGCGAATGTTATTAGAAGTTTTAGGTATGTGAACAAAGATTATATAATGGAATCCTTATTCGAGTGTAACGGCATATATGTGGGAGTTGGAAACTCTAAGACACTAACGTACGGGATTAGATATCTGGAGTTCTCGTAGCGGGCCCAGAAAATGGGTTAAAGCAACAATCATTAGAACGTAATGCGAAAGTTTCGTCGAGAAAGAAAGCAACGGTCTACCGTTTCCACTTATTCTATCACGTCAGAAACTTACACACTAGCGAGCGTCGTAGCTATCAGAAGGAATGAATAATTCGAAGATGTCGGATCGCATGATCGAAATTCACATGTCTGGGAATCGTTTTGAACGTCAAATTACGAGGGGGTGGGATGGCGCTCTCTTCGAGCGATCGCTTGAATAATTACGTTACAGACAGTCAATCCATTTAAATCACTCTATTGCCGACAAATGGTTCATTAAAATGCAGCGGATCGAATTCCTGTCGCACCAATTGCGTAACGTAGCGCGCGCGTGAATATTCTGATAAATTCTAATAAATCTTGTCTCGATGAACCTACTGCCGACGGTTGAGAAAGGTCGCTAACGCGTTTGTAGACAACGTAAATTTGCATTAACAAAATTACTTTGCATCGCAAAGTATATTTGATGTAAGTTTGCAATCATTAATACTCAAAAGTTTATTTTGAAGATTTATATATCTTCGACCATTCTAAAAATCATTACTTAATTTATTTAAAACTAGAAAACGGAATCGATATAATACTTCTACAAAGATATCTTTTATACATATATATTTGATTTTTATTTACGAACAAAATTTCAGCTTATTTGTGTGTCTAAGCATCAAAATTTAAGCTTATTAAGATTATGCATGTTGTTAAAATATATACAGTTCTCAAACTTTGTTTGTTACATAAATTATGTTTTTAAACCAGACTTGTAATTTATTTTTTTTTAATATTATATTCTTCTAAGTATATATCGCAGTATAATTAAAATCGTATAGCGGTTTTATGTTATAAAATCGTATCTATGTAAAATAATTATAATGTACAATGTAAATATAA